CACAGATGTTTTGAAGGTTACTTTGCTGTGTCTTAGGCCTTTTTGACCTAAGGTGGAATTAATCCATGATGGTTTAGTGTGTTTTTATTTTTATTTTTGGTTGTGTGATTGGTTTCCTCTCACCTGCCCCAGGTGAACACTTGCTGAGGTAACACTGTTTGACTTTGTGTAGCAAGTCTGTGCTTTAACAGCTAAGGAAACCCGAATGGCCATGTTGCAAAGCCAAGTCTTTTCTCTGACAATGTGCAGATGAAGATTTAGTTGTTCAGTCTCTGCCAGGTATGTCAGGCCACGCACTCTGATTCTGCATATTCTTGGGTAAAAACTAAATGCAGCAACAGAACCCCAAAACATAGAAGCTGCTTGTAGGAGGCTCTGGGGCAGATTTCAGACAGAAGTGGTGCACTGCATGGTGCCCTTCCCTGAGTTCCCTCCTCCCTTCTGTGCCCCAGCTTTTTCCACGTTTGTGCAAGAGCAGAGCATGAGGGCAGCATTGGCACAAAGGGGTGGGAGCAAGCCCCATAACCGAGTCCCTCCAGACTCCACCAGGGAGGCTGCTCTTGTTGTTGCCCAGTAGCTGGTTGTCTTCTTGCCAAAGTCCTCTTGGGGGTTAAATGAGGCTTTCACACTGGGTCTAAATAAAGTCATCTATTCTCTGGCACTCTGTCAAAGAAAAACTTGAACTATTTGCTTTAGATTAATGTCAATTAAATGGCAATTTAAAAAAAAAAAAAAAGACTTTTGAAAATTATTTTAGTTTGAGGGTTTTTTTTAATGTGTGGAAAATATAAACCGTTTTCACAAATCAAGTCCTTTACGTAGAAACGGTTGCCAAGTTTTTTACTAGATGATTTGTGACTTCAGGATAATTTTTACAGGCTACTGTTTAATTTTGCTGGTTTGACCTCCACCATTGCAAAAAGAGAAATAAAAGCCACCTTCTTTACAACCTGGCTGCCTGAATAGCCTTGTTTGTAAGCATGTTAATGTAGGATATCCTTATTATATTATGAGAGGGACCTGCTAGTACTGTTAGATTTGGCTGAAGGTACAATAAAGTTAGACCTAAATCAGTCTCTCAGAGTCAGCATCTGCTTTGCTGTGCTCTGCAGCACTTTCTGTTATAGTATTGAATGTGGAAAGATCTCTTGTTGTTTACACTAATGGCAGGGGTTTTGTATGCAGAAATAAACTTCATTGGGAAGATGAATTTCATCTGATTTTGCTGAGGTTAATAATCTGCAAGGATGATACCAACCTGAACTCTTATTTATAGCTTGTTGTGTGGTAGTGGGAAAATCATTGTCACGTGTGTGACAGTGTTGGGAAATGGCAGTGTTTACAGTACCCGGAGTTAAAATACTTGTATTTTTATTATATATATATTTATGGTTAGTTCAAAAGCAGAGGGAGATGCAGGTCTGCGTTCACACTCAGAGCTCTGTACGTGCAGAACTGAAAGTTGGTTTGGATGTTCCTTGTATGGGGAGTTACTAGAAACAGCCTGAAACTTGCAGCAGAACCAGCGGAGTCCAGGCTGTGGATGGATAGTTTGGGGAGGGTAAGGAGATGAATGTCTGTGGTGGTGAACCAGGTGTTTTGATATTTAGTTACTCTGTTTTACAATAAATCTGATTCTAGATCAAATTCTGGTCTTGTATTTCATGAAATCTTCCTCAAGCTTGTCTAAATTTGACCCAAGTCCCTTGGAATACAAAATCTTCAAGAAACTTTTTTCCTAGTGAGCCTGAAACTGCCAAAATGTCTTCCTATTTATTGATCTTTATCTAAAAAAAACCATTGCTAGTTGTAGGAACAGGCTGCTGACATGAAAAGCCTGTCTGTGCATTTGGTGGGTGGCCAGAAAATGAGTTTCTATAGGAGCTTGTTGGCAAGCTTAGATTTTTGCTTCTGTTAATCTGATGTAACTGTAAGTAATCTGGGAGCCTGGTACACTCAAAACAGTCTTTAGACAAAATGATCTTATTTTTACATTATAGCTGAGGGGATATTTTTACATAACAGCCTCTTGTACTTAAAGCAGTTAAAGCTGCCTAGGAACGTGACTCTTCACAGTTTCTGTCAGCCTGCTGCATAACAGTGACAGGTCGTGGCAGTGCTGACCCGTCTTGCCAGCATCTGCCTTAGGAGCTGAAGCGGCCTGTTCAGCAGAGCGGTCTGTCACTGCTTTAAAGAAGGGTGTGCATTTTTAAAAGACCAGGTGGTAACACATTTAAGGGTAAGTACATTACTTTTACTAATGAAAAACACTTTGAATGTGTTCACGGTTACATCTGTTGGCCAGGTTATTCTGTGACCTAGGGCTGAAACGCCTGAACCACCGGAGGAAGAGGCTCTAGGTTAGGGCTTTGTGTTCCCAAGTGGTGTCCAGCCCAGGCTGTTAACACTGCTGGGCCTTTCACTGGCCTCCTAGGTCTTTTGATTCTGCCTGAAGGCAAAGCTTGAAGAGAAGAGTTGGAGACTGCTCTGTCTCAAGATGTTTTTGTTGCCTCTCACTTCTTTCCTGTGACAGTGAATGTGAGTACACGCTAAGGGGAAAACTGGATCCAGAACTTGAAATGTCCATTGAAGTGCTGTATATGCCAGGCTATACAAAAGAGATCCAGATCAAACCATGGTCTTTGGGGAGCATTGGATAAATGTGGCTTTAACAGGAGAATGATGAAGATTCCTGATTCCACACAGGACAACAATGCTCATTTGCAGCCTTGAGTTTTCTGCTTCATCCGTGAGATGGATGGAGGAGGTTTGAGATGCATCCTTGTCCTCCACTGGTATGGGCTGATGAGTGCCAACCAGAAAAAGGAAAGCACTCTACTATTCTTATTATTTCTTCAAACATCTGTATCACTAGCAGTGACAGCACAGACGATGTACAGATGGGGTTTGGTTTACAACTGCTTTGGTGCAGGTCTGAGTTACATGGTATGTAAAACTCCTTGAACACAAATGGAGATGTTATGACATGGGAGGGAGCATGATACAATTGGGCCAGTGCTTATCAGAGGTTTAAACTTCCCTGATGGCATTTGTTCTCTGGTTGCTATTAATAGTAGGGCCTAGAAATATTTCTGAATGTGATAGCTGACAAGTTTCTTCATCAAATAGTCAATGAATGAGCAAGAAGTGTTTCTATTTTAAACTTAGCTTTGACAAGTAATAGAACTTCAAAGAAAAGCTGTTCATAGAAAATAACCTTGGTGTGAGTTACCACAAGTGATTCTCTTTAAGTGAAAGATTAGAGGGCTGCAACTTCAAGCATCTCTGATAAAGGAAGAGTTCTCTGGGCTGGTGTGTTTTGCCAGCTGCACTGTAGGGAATTTGTATTAGTTTCAAAGTTACGTGTTTAAGTGAAGGGTGCTAATAAACCTTGGCAGAGGTGCAGACTAAGGCAGATTGTGAAGGGAACGCTCTGGTTTGAACTTGGTGTGAATAGTCCCTGCCAAACTGTTAGGGTAAGTGGAGAATCTGGATGTGGAAAAGGGACTTGTGTTAGGAGGTGAGAATTGCCTCAAGTGCAAAGGCTGTGGTAGCCTTCTTGCTCTTCATTTATAATCCTGGTGACACATGTCTACATCTGCCTTTGCTTTTTCATCACCCACCCGTGCCTTGGATGATGTGCTATGAAGCTGAACATGGTTTATAATGAAGAGGAGGGCAATGATGACCATAGGGGGAAAACGGATAACAGAAAGAAGTGTCTTGAAATAAATTTTACCACTACAAAATTCTATCTTTGAGACCGCTGCGGCACCCTTGAAATGGAACACTCTGAGCTGAGGAGCAGGGTTTGTAGCAGTGAAAATTGTATCTGGTTTGTTATAAACTGCAAAAGTGGTAGCTTGCTGATGTGGCAGGATCAAGAAACTAACTATTTATTTAAAAAAAAAAAATTTGGAGCTTGGGGCCTTTGGTACAGTGTGATACATGTAGAGCGTTGCATTGGGCTGATTTGGCAAATCTGCTTTAAATCAGAAAGTAAACAGTACAGTGTCTTGGAAAGCTACCATTACAATAAGTTTGCATATGTTAATTAAGCTTTCTTCTGTTGTCTTCTGTTTAAAAACCAAAATGTTTCTTCCCAGCACGATTTACAATTTAGAATTAAGTATTGCTCATGTCAAATACTGTTCCTGGAGGTGAAATACCCTGGCCATTTCTTGTTCCTCCTGATGTCCTGGCACCTTCACATTCTGCAAAAATATTGGCTGTGTTGTTTGTCTTACAGTAAAGTTTTGGTCATGTGCTAGTTTTTTTTTTAAAAAAAAAGGTGAAAGCACCAGTAACAAAGAGATTCTCCTTTCCTCTCAAAGGAAGTAATATAATGTTAGCAAAGGGAATACAAGATTGTCAGTAGAGGTAATGATAAGCATTTTGGCAGTGTATTCGAATGTGGTTTTTCATCAATTTCAACAACCTTTAGGTTTTGGTGGGATCTTCTGCATTATCTGTCTGGTCGCTTTCTTCAATAAACCCTTGGTGCTTTGTTTTCTTAGCCTGAAGCAGTAGGGAGATACATTAGCCTCCTTATTCTCTTGCTCCATTTTTTCTGGGAATTTAAAGATTACTTTTGCAGCTTAGTGGATTTGCATGTCTTTGATTAGAAGCGTCAGCACATTGAAGAATGTGGACTTAGCAGCCAAACTTTTTTTTTTTTTTTTCCCCAAGTAACCTGTTAGAAAGTGACTTTCCAGTCTTTGGAGTGCAGCTTGTGCACATTCTGACTTGTGTTAAAAATAGCCATGAGAAAGAGGCCGTAATAGTGTGGGAAGATGTTAAATCATCAGCTGCTGACAAACGAACCACGCGTCTGTTACAATGTGGAGAAGAGCGCCTGTTGAAAAGCTGAGCTGCAGCGAGTTTTGCCTCCAGTGGCAGAAGGGCCCTTGCAAGGAGGTTAGAAGTAGTGACCAGAATGTGTTTAGTTTTATTGCAGACTTTCTAAAGTGTGCTTGATGTTTTGTTTCTTGCAGAGACTCCAACCGTCATGTTAAGGTAAAGCAGAAAAGTGCAGTGCTGAACATGCTAAAGAAGTTGGACAAAATAAGGTTCAGAGGTCACAAGAGAGATGAGTTCCTTGATTTAGCAGAGTCTCCAAATGCTTCGGACACTGAATGTGGAGATGAAATCCCGGTGAAAATACCTCGAACATCAACTCGAGACAATGAAGAGCTGAGAGACCCTGTAAGTACTTGATTTCAGGATCATTACATTATGGCAGGCAGAAACATCATAGACCCAGAATACTTTGTCCCTGTGTTTTGGATGTAACACTTGAAGATTTGAGGATGAGGAAATAAGCTTCTACTAATAAGCTTCCATTTTGTGGAAGGATCAATTAATTTCTTAGTATTAAGGATCAATTAATTTCTTAGTGTTAAGTTTCTCTGCCCCTACTATTGATATTAGATATTGTGGGTTGACAGGTTTGTTAGGCTAGGATGTGCTTCTGAATGCTGTCAGGTTTTAATTGTTATGTTGAATTACTAATGAGCACATCTGAAGGGAAGACTTCTTTTCAGTGTGAGCAGCTCAGATCTGCTCAAACGGAGCTGGCCAGATCTATAGGGATGATTTCTCATGGCTTCATTAGAGTTAGAGGGTCACACTTCCTTGTTCTTCACAGTAGTTCTGTATCCAGTAACGCATCCATGCTATAGAGCTGGTTTAAACATGTGCAGGAGGTGAGCAAGACTCTTCAGGTGCTAAAACATTTTGGTGGTTATAAGTAGAAGCACCCAAACACACCTACCTTTTTAAAAGACACTGTTTCAGAAAAAGTTAAAAGATTGGGTTAGAAAAAAAATTAAAATCTTGCTTTAACTGTTAAAATACAGCTGTGGATTCTTGAGCTTGGAGTGCTACGATGTAAATTAAGGTTTATCCATTTAACTGTATTCTAGAATGTGACTTGGAAGTCAGAATTTGTACCATGCTGTTTGTAAACACACAGTGCAGTTTTTATCCCCCAAATGTGGTCAGGTTGTTATCTGAAAGCTCATTTCTAGAAGCACAAGGCTCAACGCAAGTGTTAAACTAAGAGACTTCCAACTGTCTCTGCTTGAGCATCTCCGTGGTGGTTAGCAGCTTTTATCCTGCTCTGTAGCTACTAGTTTTTTTTAAATTTAAGTGGGCTTGTATGGTGTCATGTACAGTCATACTATATGGACCACTTTGCCAGAATTTTTTTCCTATGATCATGGAACAAAGAAGAGGTAAAATGATAGAACATTTTTAAGTCACAAGAAGTCAATTGTATGCAAATCCTCAAGCTCCTCCAAGAAGGAAGTCTGCTGAATGCCTTTCCTTTGCTTCTGTGCTCCTGACGGCATCTGTCATTTGTTAAGATGTTTGTATTGTGTATACTGGGACTAATCTGTGCTGGTGCCCTTCCAGCATGGTGTTTTTTATAAGCAAATACCATCTTATTTTCATTAAACTTAAGGCATATGTGTGAAGAGCAGGGTGTTTTCTTTTGTGTCTAATCAGAAGGATCTGGATGGCGGAGTTAAGAGGCTACAGAAAGATCTGTTGTAAACCCTAGGTAATATTTTCTGCATTTCTTTAGGAGGATAGTAGCTCCAGGATGGTATGGCTGAGAAAATAGTGAGCTGGCCTCTGTTTTCTCAAATTGTTCAACTTTCTCTGCTCAGAAGGTAATCTGAAGAGAAATACCTTGCTTTCTGGCTGATTACATGCTGTTAAGTTGGCTGTTGTGATCTAAGTCCTTGGGATACATTTGAGTATAGTGCTTTAAAAACAGAGAGAAAGGAGCAGGGGAAAGCAGCATCAGCATCAGATGTGTTTTGCCCTGCTTCTCATGTTTAGGAGCCCCAAACCCATGAGAAGATGGAACAGCAGAATAGCAGCTGCTGGGTTACAGATATTAGCAAACAAGGCCAACTTATATGAGGAATGAGGTCTGACATATAAGGGATAAATTTCAGATGGGAAGTTTGGAGGATTGGTGTTTGGCCCTCACGGACATCTGTCCACCAAGCTCTGCTTTCCATCCATAAAATGAAGGGAGAAGAATCCTTTGTGCTACAGAGGTGTTTGGAGTAAAAGTAGTGCTTGTATATTTAAGTAAATATTAAAATAGTGGCTGAGATCATGTGAACAGAGCAATTCTGAATTGTCTGTTTCTTATTGAGATTGTACAGTTGAATTGTGACTGTACTTGCTTTTATTTCAGTGGCTAAACCTCAAATATTAATTTGCTTATACAGGGTGATTTTTCTTTTAATAGGCTCTGTGAGCAACTCAGTATTAACTAGTTGTTCTGTCCTGGTTAGAAGGCAGAATTGTGTCCCACCTCCCTTATCCCTCAGTTTCCCAGGTAGAGAGGTAAATAAGGAAGGCA